TTTGGCTCTGCCCTGGGCAGAAAGGGAGCAGGAGAGGGATGAGGAGAGGAACCAGGAGAGGAACAGGGCGAGTTCAGCCCTGTCTGCAAGACAACCCCGTGCCCACCTTCTCTGCCCCCTGCCCGCCCCAACATCCTGGCGGGTCCCTGAGCCCCCACTGCTCCATGCAGGCTTCCCACACCCTCGGGGGACTTTTCCTGCCCTCCTCTCCCACCTCGAGCAGGATTTTGCCCTCCCCAGTGATGGATTTGCCCTGCTACATGTCCCTACCGAGCCCCTTTCTCTGGGAGCTGTATCCCAATGCCTCGGGATAAGGGATGGGATGGGGCTGTGGCACAGAGAGCACTTGGCTTCCTTGTCCCCACTGACACCCCCTCCCCCTGTGCCTCCCCCCAGGTGAGAAGGGCTGCAAAGGTGGGTTCCAGATGCTTCCCGGGGCCTGTCGGGCCCCCCCCCAAAGCCCCGGGGGATTTGGGGTGCCCGCTGGCAGCACCTCTGGGTGCCCTGCGGGACCAGGGGGTCCCCGAGCTCCCCGAGCCCCTGGGCAAGAGCAAGAGCAAGAAGCGGAGGAACAGGACGACCTTCAGCACGTTCCAGCTGGAGGAGCTGGAGAAGGTTTTCCAGAAGACACATTATCCCGATGTCTATGCCCGGGAGCAGCTGGCGCTGCGGACAGACCTGACAGAGGCCCGGGTGCAGGTAGGGGAACGGAGCCCTGGCTCCAGAGGGCTGGGAAGGGACAACCCGGGTGCTGCCAGGCAGAGCTGGAAGGTGTTTTTCCCTCCTCCATGCTGAGGTGGAAGCTCTTTTTCCCAGGATTATGCTAAATCCCAGATGGGAAATCCTGCTCCGTGTGCCCATCACCCACCGCTGGGATGTGGGCGCTGGTCGCCTCTAAACTCTGTCCCTTTTCCCCTCTCTCCAGCACCCCAGGGGTGGGAAGAGCCAAAATCTGGGAGGTCACTGCCAACCTGCCCCCGGACCATCCCCCCTGCCCGAATCCATTATTCTCAGCCCCCTCCCCGGCTCAGCTCCTCCAGCCCAGGAGGGATCCTGGGAGCTCGGCACGGATGGGGCTGGGGGTGGCACATCCTGGGATATGGGGCAGGATGAGCCCGACCCTTGTCCCGGGCTCCGCTGGCATCGCACTCGCCGGGAGCTGCTTCCAGAAGTGTCTCCGTGGGGGGTTTGTGGCTCCAGGTGGGAAGAGGAGTCTGGAGGAGGCACCCAGAGGGAGGGAGTGAAGGCAGGGAGCTCCCACCGGGAGCTGGGAACTGCCCTTCCCGGGGGCAGGAACAAGGCACGGGATGTGCCCCCGGAGCCTGAACCCACCCCGCGCCCACCGGGGCCTGGATTTGGGGTGGATTTGGATGAAATCGCCTGTAACCACGTGAGGCCCGAGCCGAGTATCCCGATCTCCTCCTTCCTCCTCCCCGGGAGACGCCGCTGGAGCCGCTCCTGCCCCCGTGAGCACCAGAGACCCCCCCAGTGAGCACCAGTCCCCGCCCCAGCACGGAGGGACATCGGGACCCCAAAACCACCTCGTTCCGCAGCAAAATCTGGGATAAACAAGGCTCCGAAGCGCCAGGGAGGGAAAAGGACCACTCACCGAGCGGGACTGATGGTTTCCCACGCGGAATAAGAGCGATTCCCGCTGTTTGTAGAGGAAAAGGCCGCTGGGCTCGAACCCTGAGCACGGGAAGGGTTCCCCGGGACGAGGCGGCACCGTGTCCAGGTGTTTTCCCGGCGGGAAGGAGCGTGGATCGCGGCAGACGGGCTGCGGGGAGCAGGGGGAGGGTCCCCACCCCTCAGCCCCCTCCTCCATCCCCAGGTCTGGTTCCAGAACCGTCGGGCCAAGTGGCGGAAACGGGAACGTTACGGGAAAATCCAGGAGGTGAGAGATGTCCCGGCCCCGCGTCCCCCATTCCCAGGGGAGGGGGCTCGTCCCACTGAACGGGGGTGTCCCACATCCCCCATTCCTGCCCTTTCTCCCCCCCCCCACGGGCCTTGCGGTTCCCTCCACCCTCGGAAAAGGGTGACCCTAGATGGAAAAGAGGGAAAAGGACATTTTTCCACATGCAGGAAGATGCTGCTGTTTCCCACTCCATCTCCCGTGGGATTGTGCCCTGTGGGGCACGTTTTGGGGTGTGGTGTCCCCCCCTTAAGAGCCTCTCCCACCCATCAGTGCTTCCTGCCCCCCCTTTTCTACAGCCCCCCCCCCCCCCCCCCCCCCCCAATATTGAAAAGTATAAAAATAATTGAAAATTCAGCTTCACCCACATCCCTGAGGCCAAACTGTCCCGGGGGGAACATTTCAACCAGGTCCGACCCCCCCAGGGCCTTAAAACAGAGAAAAGGCGAGGGGGGCTGGGGGGGATCTGAGGGGGATCCAGTGGGAGGTGAGTGGGATCCCAGGGGGGTGGGGGGATCCCGGGGGGATCCAAGGAGGGATGAGGGGGATCCGAGGAATGAGGGGAATGAGGGGAATAAGGAAGATCCAAGGGAGGTGTGGGAATGAGGAGGATCCAAAGGGGGAATTGAGGGGGATCTGAAGGGGGATGGGGGGGCAAGGAGGGATGAGGGGGATCTGATGGGGGGGGCGAGGGGGTCTGAAATGGGAATGAGGGAGGCCCGGGGTGGGGTAAGAGGGATCCAAGGGCAGATTAGGGGGATCCAAAGAGGGTTGAGAGGGATCCGAGGGGGGCTGAGAGGGAGTGAGTGGGGTGTGAAGGAGAGCTCGGGGGGATTCAAGGCAGGATGAGGGGGATCTGAGGGGACGGGACGCTGAGCAGGATCTGAGGGGATGTCATCCCCTTCCCCCCCCCCATTTCACTTTGGGCTTGTTTCTGGTTCTTTCAGCTGCAGAACAACCTGTGGCCGAGCCCTGCGAGCCCCCCGGGGCTCCTGCCCGCCGAGCCCCTCCCGTCCCCCTGCCTGGCCCCGTACCCCCCCCCCGCCCACAGCAACACCTTCGTGACCCTTCCCGCCTCCCCGGGTGCCCCCTCCGCCATCAACGGCCTCTATTCCCTGCACGGGCTGCCCCCCCCGGCCCTCGCCCCCCGCCCCTTCGAGCCCCCCCCCCAGCACGGCTACAAGGCGCCCGCGCTGATGCCGCTGAGGATGAAGAGCAAAGAGGGGGCCGGGAACCTGCTGGGCTGGGCCACTTGATCCCCCGGGGGAGGGACACGGGCCCCCCACGCCCCCAGCGCCAGGATGGGGGAGCAGGGTGCTGGGATCAGCTTCCCCCCCTCCCTGCACACCCAGATCTCCGGGAGTTTTCCTGAATCCAGCGCGATGCTGCTGCACTGGGGGGACTAAAGGGGGGCTGTGGGGAGGGAAGAGGGTCATCCCCACCCCCGGGCTGGCACTGGCAGCTCACGCCCCCAAAAGTGGCTCCCTGAGCCCCCCCAAGCACCTGCAGTGAAGGGGGTTTGATGGAGATTCCCGTGGGTTTGCAGCCCCCTCCCCCCCACCAAATCTGTGTCCCAGCCCTGGGCAGGGGGACTGTGATGGGGGGCTGTGCAGGATACCCCCCCGGCAGGGGACACCGGGTGTTTTGGGGGTTCCTCTCCCCTCCCCAGCTGGAGTTTGGCTGCTCACCCCCCTCCCAATGCAACCAGCAATGGCAGAAATTGGGCTCTTCCAGTCCCATACTGGGAAGGGCCCCTGGACTGGGACAGTTACTGGGGGCAGAGCTGTGTTCAAGGAGCCCCCAAAGCCCCCCCCCCAGCCACCACAGCCCTTTCTGCTCCCCTTTTGGGGGGAAGCCCTGGCACAGCCCCAGTTCCTGGAGCAGGGGGAGCCCCCCGGGATGGGCAGTAAATACGGGGGGGGGGGGCTGAGAGGGTAAAGATTCCCAAATTGAAGCCTGTTTCCCTGGGGAGGGGGTCACCTGTTACCCCTTGGATGGAAGAGGTGGGGAGGTGCTTTAATCCCCCCAGGTGAGACCCCCCAAGTGCTCCAAGAGGGGTGTTGGGGGCACAACTGGTCATCTGGGGGAGGTTCCCCATTTTGGGGGGGCTCTTAGTGGGGGTACCTGTACGGCCAGTCTGGGGGGGTGGAGGGGGGACCACCTCATTGCATCCAACTTGTTTGATCTTCTCTGGGGGTCCTGGGGGGAGTCACCCCAAGTCCCTCCAAGTGCCAAAAATGCCCCCAAAACTGGGATGCCACCCTGCCCCATCCTGACTGGGGGGGAAACCCTGGAGGGGCACCTGGACCCCCTCTTGGGGAGGCACCAAACCTGCTGCTCCAGCCCAATCTGGGCCAAACCCCAAGGTTTTCAGCCCAAACCTGGTGCCCCCCCTCCCCCTGGACCATCTCACCCCCCCTCCTGGCAGGGGGGATCTGGGTCTTCATTTCTGAGCAATAAAACACATTTGGAATAAGTTATTTCTGGCTCTGGCACTGCTATAGAGTCTGGCGGGGGTGAGGGGGGAGATTCCCACCTGGGTCTTGGGTCAGCTCTGGGAATGGGGTTTGCTCTCTCCATTAGGGCTGGATTCACTCCTGGAGCTCCACAGGCCCAGCCCTGAGCTGTCCCACAGGGATGGGGTGGGAACTGGGGCTGTCCCAGCTTCCCTCCCTCAAACCAGGGTGAATCCCTCAGGATTCCATCCCTGGGAGATGCCCCTGTGCCAGGGAAACTGAGGCCCAGCAAGGTGCAAGGCTGAGCTCTGGCAAGGCCAGGCTTTGGGGAGGCTGGGTTTGGTGTCTGGGAGCAGAGACGATCCCAGTGGGAACACCAGGATGGTGCCAGAAATCCCAGGACAGAGCTGGGGAGGCTCAGGGAATGGGACGGGGGGGGCCTGCCACCCCTGAGGCCACCAACCCCCCAAACCAACAGAGGGGGGGCAAGGGGAACATTAAACCTTCTGGGGACAGGTCAGGACCCCCGTGGGACGTGAGGGGTGATGGGGACAAGGGCAGATGAGGACCCCCCTCCCAGCTCGGGGTGGGGACACAGACAGAGCCTGGGCACACTCAGGGCAGAGATATCACCAAATATATATAATTTATATACAGCTCACCCCCCTGGCCCCCCAGAGCCCCCCAGGAGGGGCTGGGCAGGGTCAGCCTCTCGCCCCACACAAGGGACCCCCTTCCACACTGACCCCCCTGTTTGGGCTGCAGAGGGCAGCGGGAGGGAGGTGGCCCTGAAAGCAACCTCAGGGGTGGGCACAGCCCCAGGGGGGGTCAATCTGCCCGGGGGAGGCACATCCCTGCCCAGAGATGGGCAGATCCCGGGGGGCACTGCCTTTGGGGTGGGGGGATCTACCCCGGGGTGGGCACAGACCCCCTCACCCGACGGGAACCCCCCAGGGCACCAGAGCCCCCCACCCTCAGCTGCGGGACGAGCCTGGAAGGGGGCAGAGGGGCAGGATGGCACCTCAGCAAGGACCCCCCAGCCCCACCCTATTCCCCACCCCCCCAGGTCTCCAGACACCCCCAGGCCCCCCAGACCCGCTCCCTGCCCCCGCCCCGTGTCCATGTCCCCGTCACTGCAGCAGCTCCTCCCAGGAGATGGGCCTGGAGAAGACCTCCCTCTCCAGCCACAGGTCGTAGTTGACCTGGAAGTCCTCGGGCAGCTCCACTCGCTGGCCCAGCACGCTCTGCAGGCAGTTGTCCACCGGCACGAACTCGGGGTTGCCGTGGGCGCGGTCGTAGCGCCGCGCGTTGAAGCGCTCGATGCTGGCACGGAGGGCACATTCCTCCGCCTGGAAGTCCCAGGGACGGGCATCCAGGTCTGGCAGGAGAGAGAAAACAGCTCAGGGAGGAGCCCAAAGCCCCCAGGAAAAGAAAGGGGGGCTGTAGGTCCCCAGCAGGGCAGACACGGCAGCTCCATCACATCAACAACAGGAGACGCCGTTGGTTTGGACCCCTCGGGCCAAAAACAGTCCCAAAAAAATGGGATCTCACCTCAGCCCAGCTCCTAAACCCTGATGGGGGGGGCACCTGCTGTTCCAGCCTGATTTAGGGCAAAACCCAAGCTTTTCAGCCAAAGGGAGCCCCAAGACCTGGCACAGCCCTGAGCCCTGCAAAGCCTCCACCTGGAATCCCTCCTGCATCCCAGACCTCTGGATTGGGTCTGGCTGAGCTGGGAAGGGCTAGGAAGGGCTGGGAAAGAGCTGGGAAGGGCTGGGAAAATGCTGGGAAAGGGCTGGAAAGAACTGGGAAGGGCTGGCAGAGAGCCAAGAATGGCTGGCAAGAGCTGGGAAGAACTGGGAAAGGCTGGGAAGAGCAGCTTCGTGGGTACCCAGTCAAGGTCAACCAGCCAAGGTCGCCCCACCCCACGTGCACGAGCCCCGGGGCAGCCCCTGCAGTGGGAAGGCATCGGGAATGCTGTGGGAATGCTGTGGGAATGCCGTGGGAACGCCGTGGGAATGCCATGGGAATGCCATGGGAACACCATGGGAACACTGTGGGAACACCGTGGGAACACCGTGGGAACACCGTGGGAATGCCATGGGAGCACCGTGGGAACACCGCGGGCGGGCCGGAGGTACCGTTGCCGTAGGCCCAGTCGTCGTTGAGGCGGTGCCGAACCTTCTGGTAGATGGCTGACATGGTTTTCATGTTGCTCTTCCTCCACTGGCGCCCCAGGTACTTGGTCTGCACCTTGAGCAGCTTGAGCACGTAGAGCTGCAGCATGGCCTGCTTCACCTTCAGCGCCCGCTTCAGGATCGGCGCCGACTTGAACACCACCAGCATCTGCGGGGACACGGCGGGGACAGGGGGATAGGGGTGGGGTGGGGATGGATGGGACAGGGATGGGGGGACAGGGATGGGGGGACAGGGATGGGGGG